TGGACAGACAAATCCAATCCAATACGTTTTTGTGCGCATGTTTTGTTTTTCATTAATGTATACCTACTTTTGAATCCCCCTGTATATATATATATATATATATATATATATATATATATATATATATATATATATATATATATATATATATATATATATATGTGTGTGTGTGTGTGTGTGTGTGTGTGTGCCGATCTTTGTATTCCATAATTATTATTATTTAGCAATTATTATTATTTAGCACCATATAGCATTGAAACACCAGTTCACCTATGATCACAGAAGTTAAGCATCGTCGACGCTGGTCAGTACATAGATGCGTCACCTTTTAGGAATATAAGGTGCAGTCAGCTTGGATGTGCGGATGGTGTAATTGATAATGACTCGGAATTGTTAATCGGAGAGCCAAGTTCCAGTTTTATTTGGGTTCGTTATATTTCTTTATGTCCATATACCATTGGAAATATCATGAATCCACCTATTCTTCTCCAGCTATTGGTTAATTAGTAATACCTGTAACACTAAATCATTATTATCTCAAAAAATTCTTACAATCTAAAAATATTTTTTGGCTTTTAATAACACACAAATTGTTGGTAAGCCGCTGAAAATGAATGAATCAATCAATCAATTATTATTATTATTATTATTATTATTATTATTATTATTTCCTTTGATTTCTGGCGTTTACACATTTCTTTCCTGGTCTCGCCCAGGGACCTAAGTTTAGAAATGCCACCATGACACTTTCCACTGACAAAAAAAATTACATAGATAAAGTAAAGTGTGGACTACTTGTGAGAACAATCTTTTGTATTTCTTTGGGGCATAGACTTCCAGGAATCCTTTCAATTAGTCTACATTATTATTATTATTATTATTATTATTAATAATAATAATAATTATTATCATTATTAATATTATTATTAATATTATTATTAGTAGTAATATTAATATGATTATCATTACAATTATTATTAATATTATTATTATTAATATTATTATTAGTAGTAGTAATAGTATTAATATTATTATAATTAATATTATTATTATCATTATTAATATTATTATTAATATTATTAGTAGTAGTAGTATTAATATTATTATAATTAATATTATTATTAATAATATTAGGTTGGTGCAAAAATAGTGTCGTTTTTTGACGTTCAACTTCAAAAGATCATAACTCCTTTCATAATAAACTCTATTAATCGAAATAAGAACCATTAGATTCGACACATTTTTGCCAACGAGAAACAAGTTTATTTATCCCATTAGCATAGAAATCCGGAGTTCTGGAAGCGATGAAGTCATTGAAGGTCGATTCGGCATCATCTCGGCTTTTGAAGCATTTTTCGCGCAGGAAGTTGTCGAGATGCTTGAAAAAGTGATAATCGGTGGGCGAGAGGTCCGGTGAATATGGCGGATGAGGCAGAGTCTCGTCGCCCAATTCGTTCAGCTTCTGCAGGGTCAGTTGAGCAACATCCGGGCGAGCGTTGTCATGGAGGAGAATTGGTCCCTTCATATTGACCAATCTCGGGCACATACGTTGGAGTTTCTGGTGCATTTCGTCAATTTGTCGGCAGTACTTCTCCGCCGTAATCGTTTCGCCCGGATTCAAGAAGCTGTGATCGATGAGACCGGCCACAGACCACCAAACAGTCACCATAACTTTTTGGCGCAATTTCGGCTTTGGGAAGTGTTGTGGACCTTCTCCGGCATCCAACCACTGTGCCGAACGTCGCCGGTTGTCGTAGAGGATCCACTTCTCATCACACGTCACAATCCGCTCGAGAAATGGGTTGTTTTTGTTGCGCAGAAAGAGCGTAGAAGACACCTCAAAACGACGATTTTTTTGATTATCGTTCAATTCATGCGGCACCCATTTATCCAACATTTTTGACTTCCCTATTTGCTTTAAATGGCGAACGAAGTTCAACAGCAACTTCTCGCGTGGTTTTGCGAGGATCGGCTTCAATTAAGGCTTTCAAATGTTCGTTATCAACCGCAGTCGGCCGGCCGCGACCGTCTTCATCTTCGAGGCTCTCGTCACCATTGCGAAATTTCTTGAACCACCGTTGTGCCACACGTTCGTTAGTACTTCCTGGGCCAAACGCATCATTGATATCACGAGCTGTCTCGCCAGCTTTTCGGCCTAGTTTGAACTGGAACAAGAAAATCGTGCGGATTTGAATTTTGTCCATGCTGTCGAAAAGCCTGCAAAAAAAATGAAGGAAGAGATTGAGAACGGTAACGAATAACACGATTCGATAGAGCGAAAAACACGCTTCAAAATGATATATAACATCGCTATATATATCAATGAATTAATTCAGAAATCATATATAAAAGTAACATATGTCAGAAAACGACATTATTTTTGCACCAACCTAATATTATTATTATTATTAATATTATTATTAGTAGTAGTAGTATTAATATTATTATAATTTATTATTATTAATATTATTGTTAATATTAGTAATAGTAGTAGTATTAATATTATTATCATTAATATTATTATCATTAATATTATTATTTTTTAAATATTATTAGTAGTACTAGCAGTATTAATATTATTATTATTATTAAGTTACGAATTGGACGAGAAATTATTTTATTCTCTCACAGAGCATATTGAACGGTATTGCGCTAACAAAACTTCCACTATGAAATTGCGTATTTTGGAGGGGGGGGTCAGTACTACGGCAACAGGCAAATACAAGAATCATTATAATAATGATTCCTTGAATTGGTTACTAATCTATTAAATTGTTGGTTTCATCCTCGACGGAAGTTAATTAAAAACCCGCGTTTTTCAATCTGGAAATTATCAAAGCTGGTAACCTCAATATGAACCAGTCGCGCCAGTCTGTCTCGAGCTGAATAATCTCTCAGATGTAGAAGCGATTATTTTCGTCTGGCAACGTGAAAATTATTTTTGCTATCATTATGAAGCATGTTTTAATATGGTTCTTGTGAAATTATTTAAAAAGATTTATCAATATTCTATCGTTAATCACATTGGTCAACAAAGATAGAGAATGAAAGTTGTTGATTATTCAAACTATAAAATAACATAATGCAAAGACGAAACTACATCCTGCGCAATGAACGACTTAAATATTCATTAGTTTTCGAAATAAAACTTTAAATCAGTATCCAATTGGATCTCTCCAAATTAGTAATGGCGTGAATGTCTGGTTTTCTAATCACTATTCTATAGGATACTGAGACTCTTATGTAGCATGTGTAGAACTATGGTCGCCCATGTCCTTAAAGGCACGTAGAAGAAATGAATTGTGAAAGTTGTATTCTAGAAGTCAAAGAATACCATACCGAGAATACCATGGACGGAGTATGTAAGCAATGAGGAAGTCTTGAGAAAAATGGCAACAAAGAGGACATTTTTGGCAATAATATTCAACCTACACAAGTACCGTCCTGGTTATGATGATAAACTACATCTGCGCCCTGGGTAAGACGATAAACAACGTCCGAGTCCTGGGTAAGACGATAAACTACACCCAACAGAAAGGTCTCTGATCAGGAGGTTTTATGGAGCGTGGAACCACCTCTTAATTGCTGACGTTTCCAGGTCCACCCTGACCCGGGATGGTAGCACATGTTAGGGTTCCAACTATGGGTAAATAGTTAAAACCAAAACTGGAGCCAAAATACTATGTAAGTGTAAAAATATGTTTTAATACCAGTAATAAATTTTTTGAGAAAAATATTACCAGCAATACATTTTTGGAAATCTTGTCGGCATTAAATAACCCATTGAGGTGTTGATATGCCATAAAACAAACCAAAGCAAACCGATTTCTTACAAAGGATATCTATTCTATTCATACGAACGTATCTAAAAATTTTGTCAGCATTAAATAACCCACTGAGGTGTTGATAAGCCGTAAAACAAAACAAAGCAAACCAAATTGATTTCTTACAAAGAATACATATTCTATTCATACGAACTTATCCTAAAAATCTTGTCAGCATTGAATGACCCATTGAGGTGTTGATATGCCGTAAAACAAAACAAAACAAAAACTTATACAAGTAGATGATACTAGCGCTGTGATATCTTCCATGCATTAATTTCAACTCTTCTTATTAATAACCGCATTGTTTCCTTCGAGGTATACCGACATCTGACTGTTCAAAGACGACTTTAAAAATACCTAGTAGCCATTTCTCTTGAAAATCTAGGATCGTTTTGTTAACAAGTACCTTCAGAAAAAAGGGTTTAATCTGTGTTGACATAGTTTCCAATCACACCGATGATTCCAACTACAACTAGAATTCTTGATGTCCTCATGTGCCATATTTTTGAGATTTCTACTTCAAGATCCTTGTATTTTGATAGTTTCTTGAAGATCTTCAAACATATATTATTATTATTATTATTATTCTAAACGTTATTATTAATGGATACCCGTATTTGAGTAAACGATCCGTTTTTATTTTAAACAGTATTTACTGACCTGCACACTCGCGAAAATTTATTAAAAACATATCTACCAGCATTCTGACAGCACATATATATATATATGTGTGTGTGTGTGTGTGTGTGTGTGTGTGTGTGTGTGTGTGTGTGTGTGTGATATTCATCTTTTGATTTTAAACCCAAATGTTTTCAGTGAACAACAAAAACAATAGTTTTGGTGGGGCTTTATATATATATATATATATATATATATATATATATATATATATATATATATATATATCCTTCTTTCATCGGCTTCAAAATTGCTTGCTTTTGTCCCAATTTGTCTTCAATTTGCTTTTAACATGAAATGGAACCTTTACAGGTGAAACTCAAGGCTAAAACCAAGAGTTGTCATTCAGAGCTATTTAATGTCTAAAAGGCAACACCTGGGCAACAAGAAACACCTGTCAGTCACGTGTTCCAATATTTTTGCACACTTCACGAAAGAGTGGGTTCAGACAAAATGTGGTATGCACTAAGTTGTTTAACACATCTAAATAAAAGCTGAAATTCTGAACTCTTGTCTCATTTTCACCTTTCGATCCAAAACCCAAATGTCTTCTGTAAACAGCAAAAAGAAAAGAAAAGATCGGTAGTAGCGACGGGCGGTGTGTACAAAGGGCAGGGACGTGATCGACGCGGGATGTTGACCCGCGCCTACCGAGAATTCCTCGTTCACGGGGTTGGTTACAGGCCCCGATCCCTATCACGGGAGGTGGTTAAGAGGTTTCCCGACCCTCTCGGGCAGGGGCGAAGTCTCCGCTGATACCTCCAGTGTAGCGCGCGTGCGGCCCCGGACATCTAAGGGCATCACAGACCTGTTATCGCTTCGCCTCGTGTGGCTTTCTGCCACCTGTCCCTCTAAGAAGTGCGTGAGAAAACCGACCCGGACCCGGGCGCTGCGATGAACGCCGAGCCCGCCGTTGAATAAACACACACATCGGCGCACTAGTTAGCAGGCCGGAGTCTCGTTCGTTATCGGAATCAACCAGACGGATCGCTCCGCCAACTAAGAACGGCCATGCACCACCACCCACCGAATCGAGAAAGAGCTATCGATCTGTCAATCCTACCGGTGTTCCAATACTTATGGAGGGGGGGGGGCTGTATATAAATTCATATTGTCTATCAATGTGTACGCGTATGTATGCGTGCGTGTGTGGTGGGGTATGTGCTGAGGTGTAATTAGTACACCGAATTGTGACATCAAATGCTTGAAGTTTGGCATTTATCCGTACGCCAATTCAGCGACAAGATTAAAGTGGGATTTACACTCGAACATGGGATCTGTGCCAAACATTGCTCGTCGTTCCCGGCATTTCTCAATTGGGACGTCTGACCCTGATCCCCCGCCCTCACCTCTGAGCACAGGGGAATAGTCGCCGTCTTTAAGGACCGCCCCCTCTTGGCGCTGAAATTAATAATTAGGGCCGCATAAGAAATGAGGTTTCGGTGTTTATCAGTCCGTCCCCTCGAAAGAAACGTGGTACGGGGTCAAGTTTAAAAGCGCGTTTTCCACGCGTACACGTAACTAGGGACAAAACTTTCTCAATTTTTGTATTTACAATTAGGAACACCATAAGCGTGAAGGATTAAAACGAGCTCTCTCCGTGCTGTCTGGAGGCGAATCTAATATTAAAAACCACATATAAAAGGGGGTTTTATCATATAGAGCTATCTAGCTTGTCTTATATCTTAGCCAACTCATTTGTATATTCACCATTCAATATTAATAATAATTGTCTCTTTATTAAGATCAAAAGTGGCGTTTGTCTACATTTATAAATAAGCGATTCTTTTCTTCATGCCTTTTGTTATTAGATTGCTTAGTAATTCTAATAAAAACATTTTTCAGGTGAAAGTGGTAACCACCTCAGAATTTAGATCACGGCTTGGTCAATAAAGACAAGAAACCAATGTTTAAACGGAGCAAGCAACGCTGATATTTCTGTCTCAATTTCTGGGATGAGGTTTTATCATTATTTACACATTTTACATGCGAACTATTATCCTCATCTTTGTTGTTATCACAAAGTTTCGGCCGTTACGCCCACCGACCTTCATCGGGTACTTGCTACCTGGATCGACATACACTGCTGCCAACATTAATAGAACATGGGGTGAAGGATCCACTAGTGATCGGACGGTATCGCGCTGTTTTCTGAGTTCCACAGTGGGGATACTGTTGTGGCTATCTTGGGGCCAGAAGTCATGACAAAAAGAGAGGAATTGAGTTAAACAAATATATTAGCAAAACATGTACAAACGAGCAAGAACGTTCGGCCCGACTGTCAAATCTAACTGCTGGAAACTACGCTCACAAAAAGACAGTATCTGCTCTTATTTATAGCTGGGAGAGTCCATGTGTGCATGGGTAAATTACCATAACAGATACGAATCAAGGGGTTAGAGGACGGACATCTGCAATTGGCAATCAATACCTGAAAATACTATTCGGAAAAAAAAACCCATATCAGAGTGTCAGAGAACTGTCTCAAAACATTGGTGTTAGTATTTTGACAATATCGAACCATATCAAGAAAATTGGCAAGGTGAAGAATTTCGATAAATAGGTTCCACATGAAAGTGAAAGTGAAAGTGAAAGTTAGTGTTCGACGTTTTGAAGTATTTTGGTGCTGCATCAGCGAAATTCGACTGATCCATTTCTTGATCGAATAGCGAGCCGTGATGAGAAATGGGTCCCTTTATGACAGTCGTAAACGATCGGTTGAATGGTGTCATCATGACGAAACATCCAAATACGTTCCAAAACGAATGTTGGACCAACAGAAGTGTAGTGCGACTTTCTGGTGGTGTAGTATTGGTATGATCTATTGCAGCTTTCTGCCGAAGTTGACTGCCAGCAACTGGATGCACATTCAGTCACACAAAATGCGAACGGCACTGGTTAGTTGCATATATTGCTAGGTTATTACCGCTGAAGCTCACTGTCTTCGGATATGAGACTTTGCCACATTCACTCATATTTCTCTGATATCTCGCTCTGTGACTACTAATTTTACATACATCTTGACAATTTTTTTTAAGCCAAAATAGATTCTGTTGTGAAGAACGTGCCGAAACTACATTCAAAACATTTCTTGGCGTCCAAACCTCTACAGTTTTATTGTGAACCCATAATTTGTAACTCTACAGGATTTAGGAGGCACGGTGGATAGCGTTTCGCGTGGCGGAATCGGAGAGACGAGTTCGAATTCCAGCTGAACCCATGGCAACACGTCTACTGCAGAAAAAAATGGCAACCTACTGCGGGAAAAAATCTGCTTCGTCAGTCATGTATGAGTAAATTGCAGGACAGACTGAGTTCTATAGCCTTGGATAGTAACTGGTTTACCGTAGAAAGAAATGGTAACCTACTGCGGGAAAAAAATCTGCCTGATCAGTCATGTCTTGAAAGATAAATGATTGCTTAAGTGTATATCCCGCATGGAACAGAATCTGTTTTTTCCTTAAAGCTTCCTCATTACTCACATGTTCAGTCCCTGATATTCTCATCAGCCTCCCGTTGAACCAGAGGAGGCACGGTGGAGTAATGGATAGCGGCTCAGATTGTGAACTAGGAGAGCGAAGTTCGAATTGCACTTGAATCCATTACATTCACTTACGTGCTAATGCCCTTGGGAAAGGTATGAATCCTCTTCTTCTCCCCCCCTCCACAACTACGAGTAAATAGCAGGACAGACTGGGTTCTATAGCTTTGGATGGTAACTGTAGAAAGAAAGGGCAACCCATTGCAGGAAAAAATCTGCCTCATCAGTCATGTATCAAAAGATACTTGATCGTCTATGCGTGTATCACGTCTGGCACATAACTAAATGAAGGCATAGTGGAATAATGAATAGTGGCATGGTGGATTAATAGATTGCAGCTCGGATTGAGGAATCGGGGAGTTGAGTTTGAATTGCAGTCAGATCTATTACATTCATTTACGTGCTAATGCCCTTGGAAAAGTTATGAATCCTCTTAGCCCCCCCCCCCCCAGCTATGAGTAAATAGCAGGACAAACTGGGTTCTATAGCCTTGGATAGTAACTGGTCTACCGCAGAAAGAAATGGCAATCTCCCTCTTCAGTCATGAATGCCTAAGCGTGTATCACTATAGCAGAAATGTATTGATGTCCAGAGTTCCTATTTTGACTTTTTAAATATTGTTTAAATACAAAGTGCGTGCTTTTTTTGATTTTTGATTTTGTCGACTGTAGGGTCAGTTGGGCACCGTCTGTGAGAAAAAAAGAGCACCATGACGCAATTCACTTCGCCAGAAATTTGCTGTTCTCCTTGGCATTCAGACCGGTAGCTTCAATACGAATATTTCAGTGTGAATAGGTTTTAATCTGAGGACAGTGAAGAGGATTCGGAAAGAGTTGGATGTCATATCCAGTCAACACTATGGAGTTTGAAGTGATCACTGGCGATAGTTGGGTTATGCATCCATTCATCTTCCTACACAGAGACCTACATCAAATGATTTGAGGAGGTAGTGCTGCCCTGGCTCAAGAGGGTGGCTGCTGAAAGACCCTATGTTGGGCAACAGGACTCTGAACCATGTCATACAAGCAGGAGAACCCAGTCATAGATGTCAGACAATTTCTGCAACCACATCACCCCTTATATCTGGCCACCTAACTCCCCAGACTGCAACACCCTTGATTATTATGTGTGGGGTGCAGTTGAGAGAGAGACCAGAAAACTCCTTGTAACACTAAAGATTAACTTTATTTACATTATTCGGGCTAGTGTCCTCATCTTTGTCGCCATATTTATTACAATGTTTCGGCCGTTGTACGCTCCGGCTTCCTTCAGATGGTTGGAATGTCGAACTGAACCCTTTATTTCGCTCACTGGGGTAGACTGTTCTAGTTCCACGTGCCGTGTTTGATGGATGTCAGTTATCAGTTATCTCCTGTTAATTTCCCTCTAAAAGTTCTCCACTGCCTTAGCCGAGTATTGAACTCACACTCTTTGGGTCCTGTCACTGGATCTAACTAACGCCTTTATGCCCTGAGGAAGTATAGATAGATACTAAAGATGAACCGAAGGCACGGATTATGACAGCATTCGCCAACTTAAACAAGGAGACCGTACAGAAGAGATTCCGAAGCTGTCTAGAGGGGGTTGTTGAAGGCAATGGCGATTTTATTGAATGAATTTACTCTTTAGAATTTCAAGTATATCCGTTCAAATCAGATGTCAGTGTTATTTTCATTTTTGCGTAATTTAGACGACAATTTATCCATACCCTGTATATCTGTTAAAATGAGATGTCAGTGCTATTTTGATTTTTTTTTTATTTTTGCTGTTTTCATTTTTGCGTAATATCGACGACAATTTATCCATCGCATCCTGTACATTAATCCAGGATTAAAAGTTGATTCTGAATCCAGAATGTTTCTTCCGAACATCCTAATAGAATCTGCCAACCTAACTTATCTATGAGATTTACGACGATACTATTGCCTGTCGTATCTTACTAGCAGAGGCTTATTGTCTAAATCTCTACAACCATCGACTATGTTTCTCTTACATTTGCTGCTCATTTGGCACCAATCAACCAACCTTTTACTCCATCAGGAATCCTCTCTTCTTGATATGTTCCCCCAGTTTCGATATATTTCTTATTCTTTTATTACTTGGAAATATTTTAAATTTTTTTTTATTTAATGCCAGGCGAGCCGATATTGTGATTATTGTATTTTTATAGATAATATAAAAACTAAAATAAAATATGTGTTTACACGTCGCGGTAAAATAAAATTTATGAATTATCAATTTTATATCGATCTTCATCAAATATTGAATCCCCGTTTGGGCACAAAAATGTTAAACCTATCGAATTACTTTTGTTACGATAATTTCGCTAAGAGAATTTGACAGCATACGCAAACATCTTAACCAAAGAAATCGTTTCATAATTCAGCGAAGCAAACGAAAGTGGCTTGAACCCGCGCAACTATTAATGTATAAAAGTGATTTTTTTTTTATTATTTGGCCCAGAAAAATATAAAGGATGTTCCCTTAACTTGGACCGATTTTAAATGTAAATCAAGTTTAAGCGTCTAATGAGTTTTTATTTATTTATTTTTATTTTTTTTTTTTTCAGATTTAACAACTTAAGTCTTTGGCAATTTCAACATTGGAAAGATTAACAATCAAACAACGTATTAAAGTTATGGAAGCCTATTACGAAAATTGACGTGACCCACGTGACTTATCTCCCCCAAAGGGAGATAATCGCCTTTTGTATCCATACATCTGCACATTCTTTTAACATTTGAAACATAACATTGGATTTTTCTGTTTAATGTAGGAGAGTTATGATAGAATTCATTCTCCCAGAAAGCATTTCCCCCATTATGGGTATTATCATATTCATGATATAATAACACCGTAATTAACGGACGGAATGGAATGGCTGAAATGAATGACAAGCACGCTTTGTTCTCAGAGAGACTTTTATACCACTAAGACACACACAAAACTATATATACATATATATATATAGGGTGTTCCAATAACTTGGACCGATTTTAAATGTGAATTAAGTTTAAGTGTCTAATAATTTTTTTTCTTTTTTTCAAATTTAACAACTTAAGTCTTTGGCAATTTCTACCAAGGGAAAGATTAACAATCAAATAACGTGTTAAAGTTATGGAAGCCTATGACGAAAATTGACGTTCAAACAGAAATGCATTTCGCGTACTTCACGATTTTTCGGTCAACATAATCGACCAACCGAGAGAGTAATTGGAAAAATTATTTTTAAATTCAAACAAACTGGAAATCGTCTGCCGGTACACTGAGTTTTCAGGAAACAAAGATTCACATTCCACGGCACGGGAGACTGCTGGGATATCAGACGCCGTTTTTTTTTTTTTATATTTCATTTTAGTTTTATATTTATTTTGGTTACATATTTCAATGAGTCACTCTTGTTAAAAATCATTGATATATATATATACAACTAACGAATGCGAAATAATGAACGACAAAACAGTGAAATAAAATACGTATGACAACGCCATGTTGATCATGTGGCGTTTGATTGTGTGGGAACCACATCTGGAAATACCAAAAGGGGGTATTTTCATGGACGCTTATTTCTAATTTGGCCTTTAAAAATTCGCCAGAATGTAAAAAAATGGGATAGCCACATGGATTTGGGTCAAAATTTTTAAAATTAGCATTTAATTTCTGGGGCTCATAATCTAATTACATATCTAAAAAAGCGGGGAGCACAGCGGGTGCACCCCCGAACCTAAAGCTGAATCGGAAAGTTTCTCTGTCCCTCGCACATTAAAAAAAAACACTGCTGGTAATTCCACATCAAATAGTTTGAGAAGCACGGGGGTAGGTGCTCTCCGGCCGAAATGAGAGACAAACCTGTTTCTAATGAAAGTGCTTTGAAAGATGACACATCAATGATTCGTATAGAATTTTCTTTTATTGCAGCCCTTAAAGTCTGCTGGATTTGAAATTAGCCAACTCCAAACAGATATCTGTTTATTCTTTTCTCAATTATAATGTTCGATACGAACTAATAGAGTTCTTCGCGGATTGCTCTAATTTCAAATCCAGCAGATGATAACAGCTTCAATACGTTGGTAAACTTTTGACCGTAGCATCTAACGATCTGTATTACTTCTTATTCAGATTACAATGCAATTTCCGTCTCGCCTGAAGACGCCTACTACAAAGAGGTGAAACGCGTAGTCTGAATAGCTTCGCCACATTGTCACATTAGTTCATTTTTTTTATAAGCTATATGATGTCTATGAGATAAACGTCCAGTAATGCTTATGCTTATGGAATTGCTTTAATACCGATTTTTTTTTCTAATGTCATTCTACATCATACGAAAATCTGTCGAAGAAATCCCTTCGTAACACAGCAAAGCAAAAGAGAAAAGAAGATTTGGCCCGAAAAACGCCGTTTAGCACAGCTAGTATATATTACTTGCTTTGTTATGAAGCAGGACGAGACATGACCTAAAAATCGGTTAAGTGAAGTTTCTTTATCTGAGAGACAACCTTATCTATCTATCTATCTATCTATCTATCTATCTATCTATCTATCTATCTATCTAAATCAGTATATTTCTTTCTCCTTTTCTTTCACGGCATATCTCATCTTATCTATCATTCGATCGATCGATCTATCTCAGTATATTTCTTTCTCTTTTTCTTTCTCGGAATCTATCTATGTATCTATCTATCTATCTATCTATCTAAATCAGTATATTTCTTTCTCCTTTTTCTCGGAATATCTCATCTTATCTATCTATCAATCGATCGAGCTATCTCAGTATATTTCTTTCTCTTTTTCTATCTCGGAATATATAATTGCACCTATCTATCTATGTATCTATCTATCTCAGTATATCTTATTTACCTCACTATTATCGTAGTATATTCTTTCTTTCTCAGAATATCTATCTATATATATATCTATCTATCTATCTGCCTGTCTGTCTGCCTCTCTGTCTGCCTCTATATGTTTTCTTTCTTTCTTAGAATATCTCTCTATCTAAGAGTTTTGTTATGAAGCAGGCCAAGAACTTGGTTCTGCAAGTGTTACTAGAAATTGATGACAAAATAATAGCGCAATCAAATCTTAATTCATGCGTTTAATTCTCTAGCATCCCTCTTTGGTCCACCTCTGCAATTGATTTGCACAAACTCGTTAGCTTGGTTGTTCGCTCTTTCCCTCTGTCTGCATTCAATATGTTATGTGAGTGTCAAATTCTCCAAGCCCTCTTTCCAAATCTTGTGCACCAGAAATTTCGACTCTTTTTTTATCGGAAATTAAAATGTTCTTTCAGATGCTATTTCCTTTAAAACTTCCTCAGCGTGGTTGCTAAACTATTATTGTAAAACAGGAAAAACAATCAGCAGTGTCGGGCTGTACAGATAGATAGATAGATAGATAGATAGATAGATAGATAGATAGATAGATAGATAGATCTGAACAGACTGCGATAGATACATAGATAGATTTCTAACGGAATGAGATAGATAGATTTAACAGAATGAGATAGATAGATAGATAGATAGATAGATAGATAGATCTGAACAGACTGCGATAGATACATAGATAGATTTCTAACGGAATGAGATAGATTTAACAGAATGAGATAGATAGATAGATAGATAGATAGATAGATAGATAGATAGATAGATAGATAGATAGATAGATAGATAGATAGATAGATCTGAACAGACTGCGATAGATAGATACATAGATAGATTTCTAACTGAATGAGAAAGATAGATAGATAGATTTAACAGAATGAGATAGATAACAAACGAAGGAGAGAGACTGAAGTGTTTGTCGGGGATTACAGGTACCAATCAATGAACATTGTGCCAATGATTTCCCTTTAGGCTTCACTATAATCTACCTTCGATCTGATATCGTTTTCATTCATTTTCTTTCTTATCTCTACTTATATATTCTAAGCGGCTCGGGTGACGATCAAGTCGGTTGTAAACCATAAAAACTCGCTTTAAATATTCGGAACCCGCCTCCCAAAATAATATTTTTTTTAGTAAAAACAACCCACTCGTATATTTACTGTTATTTTCATTTCTCCCTCTTCTGTTCGTATCACTAGCGAAATTGTATCCATTGTCGACTTCCTAGGCATAGCTGACAGTGCCTAATATTCCCCAGCGGTCACCCAACCGAATACTGACCAGACTCAACTTTGCTTAACAACGGTGATCGAACAAGAACTGGTGTTTCAACTTTAATCCTTAAAATTCCTCTAAAATTCACGAAGTTTCTTTATCTAATTGTCTTAAAATAATTGTCGGACTTTGTCCATTTCATAATGTGTGACGTCATATATATATATATATATATATATATATATATATATATATATATATATTCGCTTGATAAATAATCAAATAATTATATTGAAGTTTTCGGCTCTTGTTTTGAAACATGAGACATCTTATGTCGCGAGTTGGAATCATATTTTTAAATAAATAATTATATATATATATATATATATATATGTGTGTGTGTGTGTGTGTGTGTGTGTGTGTGTGTGTGTGTGTGTGTGTAATCCCAGACAATAACACAGCTCTTCAGTGTGGCTAGACGTCCGATTGCTTCAAGCCGGGATTGAAACGACCGATTTGGCATCAGTCAGAGATGCTACCACTAAACCCACGGCGCAGAGAAAAAAAATTTCAGCGATTTCTATACGAAATACCCATAGCGGCTAAGAGAACACAATTGTACTTGAAGAGAAATGCCTTAGCATCCACTGTCCTATTGAAGGGACTTCCAGAGCATATATATGTATCACAGCTCTTCAGTGTTACGATATATGCTTTCTTATTTCTTAGAATGTCTATGTCATTCTGTTTTTATCTATCTCAGCCTGTTCATATCTATCTATCTATGTAGCTATCTAACTAATCATGTTCCTATCTATCTATCTATCTATCTATCTATCTATCTATCTATCTATCTATTTCAGTCTTTTCATGTTTGTCCATTACAGTGTGATTACAGTCTGTTCATGTTTATAATCTATCTCACTCTCTTACTATCTATTTGTCTATCTATCTATCTATCTATCTATCTAAATCTATCTATCTACAGTCTTTTCATGTTTGTCCAGAGAAAAAAATTTACTATCTATTTGTCTATCTATCTATCTATCTATCTATCTATCTATTTCAGTCTTTTTCCATTACAGTGTGTTCATATCTATTACAGTCTGTTCATGTTTATAATCTATCTCACTCTCTTACTATCTATTTGTCTATCTATCTATCTATCTAATCTATCTATCTATCTATTTCAGTCTTTTCATGTTTGTCCATTACAGAGTTCATATCTATTACAGTCTGTTCATGTTTATAATCTATCTCCTCTCTTACTATCTATTTGTCTATCTATCTATCTATCTATCTATCTATCTATTTCAGTCTTTTCATGTTTGTCCATTACAGTGTGTTCATATCTATTACAGTCTGTTCATGTTTATAATCTATCTCACTCTCTTACTATCTGCATCTATCTATCTATCTATCTATCTATCTATTTCGGTCTTTTCATGTTTGTCCATTACAGTGTGTTCATATCTATTACAGTCTGTTCATGTTTATAATCTATCTCACTCTCTTACTATCTATCTATCTATCTATCTATCTATCTATCTATCTATTTCAGTCTTTTCATGTTTGTCCATTACAGTGTGTTCATATCTATTACAGTCTGTTCATGTTTATAATCTATCTCACTCTCTTACTATCTATTTGTCTATCTATCTATCTATCTATCTATCTATCTATCTATCTATCTATTTCAGTCTTTTCATGTTTGTCCACAGTGTGTTTGATTACAGTCTGTTCATGTTTATAATCTATCTCTCTTACTATCTATTTGTCTATCTATCTATCTATCTATCTATCTATTTCAGTCTTTTCATGTTTGTCCATTACAGTGTGTTCATATCTATTACAGTCTGTTCATGTTTATAATCTATCTCACTCTCTTACTATCTATTTGTCTATCTATCTATCTATCATCTATCTATCTATCTATTTCAATCTTTTCATGTTTGTCCATTACTGTGTTCATATCTATACAGTCTGTTCATGTTTATAATCTATCTCACTCTCTTACTATCTATTTGTCTATCTATCTATCTATCTATCTATCTATCTATTTAGTCTTTTTCATGTTTGTCCATTACAGTGTGTTCATATCTATTACAGTCTGTTCATGTTTATAATCTATCTCTCATCTATCTATCTATCTATCTATCTATCTATTTCATCTTTTATGTTTGTCCATTACAGTGTGTTCATATCTATTACAGTCTGTTCATGTTTATAATCTATCCACTCTCTTACTATCTATTTGTCTATCTATCTATCTATCTATCTATTTCAGTCTTTTCATGTTTGTCCATGTGTTCATAATTACAGTCTGTTCATGTTTATAATCTATCTCACTCTCTTACTATCTATTTGTCTATCTATCTATCTATCTATCTATCTATCTATTTCAGTCTTTTCATGTTTGTCCATTACAGTGTGTTCATATCTATTACAGTCTGTTCATGTTTATAATCTATCTCACTCTCTTACTATCTATTTGTCTATCTATCTATCTATCTATCTATTTCAGTCTTTTCATGTTTGTCCATTACAGTGTGTTCATATCTATTACAGTCTGTTCATGTTTATAATCTATCTCACTCTTTTATCTATTTATATTTATCTATTATCTATCTATCTATCTATCTATCTATCTTTCTTTTCCTGTTTGTCCATTTAGTGTGTTATTACAGTCTGTTCATGTTTATAATATCTATCTCTATCTATCTATCTATCTATCTATCTATCTATCTATCTATCTATCTATCTATCTATCTAATCATGTTTATCTACCCTATCTATATTTGTTTACATCTATCTTTTTCTGTTCTTATCTATTTGCCTATCTGTTTATATCTATCTCAGGCATTATCTATCTATCTGTTTTATCTATCTATCATATCTATGTATCTATCTCTCTGTTTACATCTATCTATCTATATTTTTCTGTTCTTATCTATCTATCTATTTATCTCAGTCTGTTCATATATATCTACCTCAGTCTGTTCATATCTATCTATCTATCTATCTATCTATCTATCTATCTATCTATCTATCTAATCATGTTCCTATCTATCTATCTATCTATCTACCTATCTATATTTGTTTACACCTATCTTTTTCTGTTCTTATCTATCTACCTATCTCAACCTGTTCATATCTATCTATCTATCTCTGTTTACATCTATCTATCTACCTATCTCTCTATCTATCTATCTATCTATCTATCTATCTATCTATCTTATCTCTTTTCTGTTCTTATCTATCTATATTATCTATCTCAGTCTGTTGTATCTATCTATCTCAGTCTGTTCATATCTATCTATCTATCTATCTATCTCTGTTTACATCTATCTATCTACCTATCTATCTATCTATCTATCTCGCTAGCTATCTTTTTCTGTTCTTATCTATCTATCTACCTATCTATCTATCTCAGTCTGTTCATATCTATCTATCTCAGTCTGTTCATATCTCTCTATCTCTGTTTACATCTATCTATCTATCTATCTATCTATCTAGTATCTTTTTTCTGTTCTTACACTATCTATCTACCTATCTATCTATCTCAGTCTGTTCATATCTATCTATCTCAGTCTGTTCATATCTCTCTATCTCTGTTTACATCTATCTATCTATCTATCTATCTATCTATCTATCTATCTATCTTTTTCTGTTCTTATCTATCTATTTATCTCAGTCTGTTCATATATATCTATCTCAGTCTATTCATCTATCTATCTATCTATCTATCTATCTATCTGTCAATGCAGCTCGATGTTACATGCTCCAGTAAAGCTCAACTAAAGTGTATCGGGACACTACTATTTAATCATTCTACAATAATTGATTCACTTTAATTATATTCAAACGCTATCCGTTTCCACCTACGTATCTATGGTATGCCTAATAGATTCTATAGTCCTCCATCGCTTTGATGATGCAAAAAAAAATTCCAAATTTTAGTAAATCAAATTATCTTATTACCCACGGATCAATTCTTTTTAACTCCCCCATACCTACTGATGCCTTAACTCTTTTCACTATTTCTGTGGAAGAAGTTTATTTTCAGAGAATTACAAATAAAGCCTATTTGACTACGCCTAATTACTCGCTACCACAGTTCTGTTCATGATTCTAGTTAAATATAAAAAAAAGTCTAAAAATGCTCAATAACAAGCTTTTTAGAGCATACTTACCACCTCCTGTATTTAGCCACTAGCAACACTATATAATGGCGGAAACGAGAAATGACAGAAATTGGACAGAGAATAAGGACGAAGCAGAAGATTAAAAAGAAACAAGAGATTGACAAGAGAAGATTATGTAGCTGCAAATAAATCCTATGATACGCCACCCCTCCAGTAACAGAGTGACAGGATCTCTACGAGGTAGTGATGAAATTTTAGAAAGTGAACAACTGGTTTTCGGTCACATTATTTAATTTTCAAACTAAGAAATAAACGTGGTTTAAAGTTGTCGTAGAATAGCCTGTTATTGAATAGGGATATTTCTTAGTGAAGTGTATTTCTACAAATTACAACTGTGCTATTTACCGAGTGGTAGTTGTTGCCTGTTTGATGTAGTATTATTAACTGTTAAAGAAATATATTTTCTTGTGTTATATGCGACATGTGGTTCGCTAGGGACGAAGAAGTCCCGTGGCAGAGAAATGAGACACGTCTCGTTCGTACAGCATCCTGTAAGGGAAGGGTAAAAGAAAGAGAAAGCGAAAGATTGAGGGCGAAGAGTTTATGCCCTTTTCTTTTTTTATACTACATTTTACTAACTCGATTTAGTGTGTGTTAGCAGAAGTTCCCTGGCAGAAAGTGGGGTAATCTATACACGTCCCATTGGTTGAACGACATACATTCTAAAAACAACTACAAAACCTAAAAAAAAGAATTCATTCCTTTGACTGATGAGCGCCTCTTGATTGTTTGTCATTTTGCTATAAAAATGTGTTGCTGCTTATTTTATTATATAAAATGTAATGTTCACTTTTGTTTGGGTGTTCATGCCCATAGCGGGGACCCTAACAGGTGCTACCACTCCGTGTCAGGGTGGACCTAGGAACAACAACAACAGTTAACAGGTGATTCCACGCTTTTTCAAAACCTCCAATCTCCTGGTTAGAGGCCTTGCTACCGGATGTAGTTTATCGTCATAACCAGGGCGAGATTTCCATATGTGAATTTTCTGCTCAATCACGTGACGTGGCTTCCATCTGTTTTTTTTTTTCCTATAGATAATGCCATGGTTGTTTTTCTAATGAGCTTTCCTCCTTGGTAACCTGACCGCATGAATTTAAATGTACTACTAGATTGGCAACTAGGACCCATCGTTTTACTGGTGAAATCGCTAGATTTGACGGCAAATTCAATTCTAATAGTTTCCCTTTTCGTCTATAGTACCCATTTCCAATTTCTTACTTCCTTGCCACGTACAGTCTTTAAAAAAAATAAGTGCATCGTCAATCACTATTTTCTGTCGTCTTGAATCGTGTTCTTTTCTTGCCCTTTCTCCCCACTAAAGTTTTCTCATTCTCTTCCATTTCCAGTAACCCGTTGCGTCTTAGTGGCATTATCGCCTTGCTTGGGGGTTGAATCGATTAAACACGAAAGAAGGAAAACAGTTTGGTTATGTCGTAAATTGAAATAATCCATATCCATTAGTATATATATATATATATATATATATATATATATATATATATATATATATATATATATAGATAACTAAACTCGTTTCGAAAAACCCTCGAATTTTTGATTTACTAATAATTAAATCAATCTCGAGGGAAAAAAAGGTTTTAAAAAAAGAAAGAGCTACAAACATGAAAGTCTGTCGAAAAAAATCGCACAGATACAGGTCTGAAGCCCAAAGAAAAAAAACCCCGATACGAGTAAACAACTAACTAACAAAAGAGCTCAATACAAGCGTAGAGCAGACCTAGATAAACGTAGTGAGCCAGACAAACCTACCTAGGTTTCACCTAAGCGGATCGTCAGGGAAAGTAAGGCTTACTTTCCTGACGATCCGTTAAGGTGAAAACTAGGTAGGTTTATCTGGTTCACTAGGTATATATATATATATATATATATATATATATATATATATATATATATATATATATATAAGTGGATTTTATTCATGCTTTCTTTGTTTATTTCAGTGGTTGATGACGTTAGTGATAAGAATGACTAGACAGAAAAGAAAAAGGGGTGGGTAGGTAACGTGCTAATATTCATAATTCGAAGCCCAAAGCTCTTAAACCAATTTATAGAACCAGTCGGAAGTAGAAACTTAAGGAAGCAGTGTAAATTAAGATTCGTTATTGCTAAAACCTGATTTTTCGGTCAACTGACGTGTCCGTTTAGAACATGGGCTTCAAGTTTGGTAAAGAGACCCGCGAAAATAACAAACTACGATAAAGCTGTAAGAGACCAATAAATTACGAAATACAAGATTCCTTGCATTATTTGGACGGTTATCCTCATCTTCATTGCCATATTCACAACGTTTCGGCCGTTATACGCTCCGGCCTTCTTCAGGTGATTAGAATTTCAAACCGTACCCTTTATTCTTTCCACCGGGGTAGATTATTCTAGTTCCACGTGCCATGCCCCTTCCAGATGTCTCAGTTATTTCCCTTTAACTCAACTCTCCAAGTTTTTTTTGTTTCTTCGTTGTTTTTTTTTTTTTTTGTTTGTTTGTTTGTTGTTTTTTTCTTCTTCTGTTCACCACTGCTGTAGCCTGGTATTGAACTCACAACTCTTTGGGTCTAGTTACTACATCTAACCAACGTCTTTAATCACTAGACAATGTGTCCTTGAAGATAGCTGTGTATGAATTTTTGGGATTTATAAACCTAATGTCTCAGCAATCATTTTTTATCAGTGCTCACATTGCAATTTTTGTTATTATCATTTTTTTTTTTTACCAGAGCTTATATTGCAATTTTTTGTTATTCATTGATTCTTTCTAGCACTCCTTATTACTGGTTCCCATATTTTATTCCTCTTTTCAGATTAAATAATGATTACCCCCCAACCCCACATATACTTTGTGGTCTCAAGCATAAATACGAGTTAAATGTAACATCTTTTCGCTTTAGTTTCTTTTTAGTGCAAATCCAAATGGAGCACTTCTGCATCATTAGCCTAGTATGGCCCTCAACCGTTTTGGGCCCAATGCACGCTTTTCACGATATGTCAGAATGTCATCCACCCCCCCCCCTTTTCCAAGACTGTCCGAATCAAGAGGAGCATTCCAAATAATATGCATCCGAAGTTGGACGGAAATGCCCAGAGGTTGACTACGAAGGAATGATACTCTACAGGTTGTCCCTGGAGTCTGGACACATTGGAAATCTCATTAACTATATATTTTTTTACCTCCATAAATTCACACACACACAAAGACCACCCCCATATATATATATATATATATATATATATATATATATATATATATTCATCGAGTCTCGAAGAAACCTCAAAAGAATGCAGAAAGCACTGGACGGCTGGCCGTTTCGTCCTATATTTGGGACTCATCAGCAGTGCGCATCCACTACCTAGAATTGAAACCCGGACAGTTCTGTTATCAAGCAAACGTCATGCCAACTGTACCAACGGGCCTCGGGGACGAAGAGGCAACGAATTAGACTCGATACAGCGCCGCTCGGTCACATATTCCGTGGTGGAACTCATTCGAGTTTCTCTTTAACCATAGGACTGTGCCTCCACGAGCTACGACTAATATCCCCAAGCCGCTCAGTCCAGAGCATTAGAAGCCGGTTCAAGCAAGGATATAAATAATTAGGAGGATTTGAAATAATCATAATTAAGTAATGGTTTTTGAAAAGAAGAAAGAATTGACTTCTTTTTCTGGGGTATGCTAAAAGAAAAGGTGTACTCAATGAAAATCACAGATGCAACACACTTGACTGAACACACAAAGAGTAAATGTGCTACAATTGACAGCAATGTGGAGTTATTTATTGCCTCGAGTTCGATTGAATCTTGCAAAGTGCATCAACATTTGCATTACAAATGATGGAAGTCATATTGAGGACACATGGCACAGTGGATAAAAGCGTTAGTTAAATCCAGTGACAGGACCCAAAGAGTGTGAGTTCAATACCCAGTTAAGGCAGTGGAGAACTTTCAGAGGGGCATTAACAAAAGATAACTGATAACTGACATCCACTAAACATGGCACGTGGAACTAGAACAGTCTACCCCAGTGAGCGAAATAAAGGGTTCAGTTCGACATTCCAACCACCTGAAGAAGGCCGGAGCGTTGTGATAAATATGGCGACAAAGATTAGGACAATAATCCGAATAATGTAAATAGTGTACATAATAACTCATGTCAGAAATATAGACAGATGTTATTTGTTAATATTCAAAAATGTTGTCGAAAATTTAATTTCTTGAAAATATGCATTGTTGCCTATATCTGCAAACTTTAGGGAAATCTTGCATGCATTAATTTCAGCTCTTCTTATTAATAACTGCAGTGTTTCTTTCCAGGTAAAATGATATCTGATTGTTCAAAAAAATATTCAAAGTAACTAGTAGCGACTTCCCTTGAAGAGGGACAAAGTATCTGCAGAAAAAAAGCCTTAGCTCCCAAAAACATTCATGGTAGAATGGTTGCTACATTAGGAGATGACCTCCCACCACCAAGTTTATCAACAGTGCAAAAATGGACGACTGAATTTAGCAGGGCCATTGAGAGTTAAGATAGGTCTAGGTCCAAGGTCTAGGCATCCTACAAAAGCCACCACCA